CAAGTATTTCAGAGTTCAGAAGCTGTCTAGTGTCAAAAGGAGATGGTGAATTTATACAAGTGCATATATACACACTTTTATATATATAAGTAAAACTAAATTTTTTCTTTATACAAACTTATTGGAAATGACCACAGTTATCACGGAGAACAGTGAAACTTTTTCACTGTACAGCTGTTCAGTCTACATGTACTGGAGTTACGAGCAAGAATAACTTGGTGAAACAAGAGTTTATATAAAATTTCATGATAAGAGAACCTTTATTTAACAATGGACAGTCTCAGTAAATTAGGTTGAYAGGAGCAATGAATTTCAGTATTAATGGAGCCAAGTACCTGATGTGTTCATTACTTGACTTCAGCTTCTTCTACTTGAGGTAGTGTATCCCAAACAGGTTTCTGAATGTGTTCAGGTATTTGCTCTATCTTAGTCTAAAAGGAAAGCAAGAAAACCATTTATTGCCCAGCCAGTTAACATCTAACTGCTTTTCTTTATTTATTCTGGTTTGAGACATGAATCAGATTTAAAATGCCATCTAGTGGCAATTCCAAGCAATATTGCCTCTTTACCATGTAATACTTAGAAAATGTTCCTTTCAAACTACACCCATTTATTTTCTCAGCTGACTTTTTAAAAGACTCCAGTAGTTATTGGTGCTTGCATCAGGACTCGCAAGAGTTAATAATGTGGGGTGTTAACTGACCTTTTTCACTTCCATGGCAACCCCTTCAGGTAAGTTTCGTTGGATATACTCCAAGTAAACCGCAGCAGTACTGCTTGTTAGGTATTTTARCTAAAACAGAAAGAAATTTTTTAATGAACTACTATTAATAATACTTCAAACAGAATACAAAAAAAAGTTTTTATATATGCGGGACCAAACATCTTACAGGAAGGCAGCTTCCATAATACTGAACAGAGGCAGCTGATCTGCACTCAACCCTTACACAAGTATGAAGTAGTTACTTCACTACACACTTCACTGCACTTGCWGCCTGGAATCACATGAATTGATTATGATGGAAGTGGTGGACCTTAACACTACAGGTATCAGATGACATTAATTACAGGTTAAGCAAGAATTACCAGCTTTTCTATACTCTCAAAACTCAAGCCTRTTATAAATCCTGCAACTCCAGACTTCCATTGAAATACTGTTTTTTTAGTTTCTCCTGGTTCCACTGAATTACTGATCTTTTAGTTTTCCCTGGAAGATAAAAATAGTGCTTATGGTCTGCGGGCAGCCACTTGTACTGCACTAATGTCAGGGGACTTAAAGGAAGTCCCATTTTGCTAAGCASTGTGCAAATATACAGTAAGACACCCAAGAGCCACAAAACGCTGGCAGTAAACCTTTCTTCTAAGAAAGTCAACCACAGCTGCATTCTAAACCATACAGATATCTGTGTCATCAGCCGCAGAGCTGGTGGTTTGTCTATGCTTCCCTTCTTCTATTTCCTATATGCAGTTTTAGTTTGCCACATGAGGCTGCAYAGGGCAAAAGTAAGTCTGTTCAAAAATATCAAACCAATTCACAGAGAACAGAGCCCTGAGTGACTGGCAATGCCAATGATTTAGCTGTATCTTCTTCCCTTCCTGAGAAAACTGTTTGAAAACAGTGATGTTTGAAAACCAAGAGCATAAAACACATAAAAGTTACCCTCAATTMTACCTTGTTTTCTTTAGTCATTCTTTTAGCTGTTAAGATAATGGTAAAAATAAACCTTTTGGTCCAAAAATTATGTAGGCTGGGCATTCAGAATAACTTGTGTTACATTCTGTGTAACTAGGTCAGCTGTTTTCCCATATTCTTCTGCATTCTCCTCCCCAAACTGTTTTCACTCTTGCATTAGCATCTAGTAATATCTTTGAATTGTGCACCTAGAAAAAGTTTTTTCCCTTCTTCCTTACCTCTAGACACATGTAATGTGTTCTCATTTCATACTGAACTCTGTGCTTCTTGTAAATGTGTACAGATTTGAGAAGMGTCAATCGTTCTATCGTCTTTGGGGGTTTATCTCTGATGAAGCAAGAGAAAGAAAATTTCATGTCAGAGAAAGGATGATAATACAAGTTTATATCAAAGATTATGCTGAAATCTCTTTCCTTACTTGACATTCAGAAGATCTACAAGGAAATACGAAACACTGGTAYCATCTCACATGGGCATGGTTAGCACTCAGATATTAACCAGCACTAGGTCAGGGAAGCTACAACACTGACAGCTGTACTCAAAGTACTGTCAATATCCTTCATGTARATAAAAAGCACTTCCACCATGGCAGTGCAGCGTGCAGAACTGCTCCTGTTTTGTCATCACTGTACTGCCATCAAAGACGTGTTAGATCTACAATCTAACCTGTCAGATAATAGCCATTTCTTTTAAAAAAAAACCCAAAAACTTCTAAGCACAGGACCTGAATTACAGCAGATGATATAAGAAGCATCTGACACCATATCCCCCTACAGATCAGTTACTTACACTTTTTCAACAGAGATGCCAAGTTCTTTAGCTGCAAGCACTGCGAAATATTCATAGCTGTCCAACACAGCTCTATCATGCCCTTTAACGAAAATGGACAATCTCTTGTACARTGTTTCTGGCTCATCTGAAACAGACACCTGCATTTTTGAAGAAAGGACAAGAGTTACCACACCATGTTCTCCTTAATTAATGCATGCACTGCATATTTCCTTAGCCTACAAACACCCCATTTGTAAAAGAAAACCATCCCACAACCTGTTTAGCTGCTTATTTTAGTTTTATAACAAGGGTCTGACTGCATTACCTTGACTGACAAGCCTCACTCTGCCAGGGAAGGCTAAGTGTGAAGAGATAGCTAACTTCTGAACACTTAGGTAGAATTTCTTCACCCAAAAAAGTAATGCCAGATAAATATAAGGAGGACAACACCAGCAATGGCAAGAATTAAACTCATTATTAAAACAAAGTTGGAGCAGCAATATTTGTGTTTTATATAGCAGTGTGCAAATACCCAAAACACTTAACAGTTTGCTTGGGCATGGAGATTCACTATGGGCAGCAACCCGAATTCTCACTTCACTAAGTCAGCTCTAAAACTACTTTAAACACAGTTGGCTTCCCCAGGTGTATTATCCTGTATGTTTGTACAAGTGCAAGTTTATGAATTTCAGTTAGAGCTTCAATTTCTGATGGTCTGGGCTCGCTGATCATCCGTGAGAGCCTTAATGAGTGCAGAAGTATTGATTTTCCCAGAGGTTTACTCCTAGGCAGTTTAGCACACTAAATCCAGCATGTACCAGAGACAGGAGGAAGGCTGGATCAGCTATGTAGATCTAATACTGCCTGTCAGATATTTCTGAAGCCCTTGTCAAAAAGCTGCTAAACTGCTGCAGGCGCTGAATTGAGTATGGCCAAACAGCTGGTATTTCATTGAGTTACAGCTGCATACAAAGGCCAAAAGTTACTAAAAGGCAAATGTGAGCTACAGAAATATTGTGGGGAAAAAACTCGAGATTATCTCAAATACCAATAATCTAAATTATTTCTTTCTCCRTGGCAAATTTGACATCACTGAGACAGAACTTTAAAAAGCTGCAAGAAAGAAATTCAAGTTTTTCTGGATGTCCTCTTTATTACTAAGATAATACAAAATACTGTGCTRCAGCACACTCACCAAAGGGTTAGTCTTAGGCTCCTGTGTATCAACATGGGATCCAGCCAGCTGTGTTCTCATCAAGTTGGAGCTCCTAGAAAAACAGGAAAAGCATAAAATAAAGTTGTTAAAGTTGGATTTTAATTTTTCAGGGACTATAGAGGAGGAGTGGAAGGAGGAGGGTCTGTTATACTTACGGAAGAAAATACTGCTTTTGCATAATTCTGCTYGCATAACTGACAGGAAAAGCTAATCCCTGTACGAAACAGATAGGTTATCTTGTGGGTTTTCTTCCCCAAACATGAAAGCAGCCAGTTAATACAGTTTTATTAAACATTTTTTTTTGCACATCCAAGCACAGCACATTCTTAGGCACTGATATGAAAATAGGAAATTTGCTCCATTGGAAAACACAGGAGAACAGGAGCATGTTGTATACATGAAATACATCATTGTATACATGAAATGTATTTCAGTATACAATAGCACCAAAAAAAAGCAGCACGTTAAGGGCRCAGTAACAGTATGCACTTACTACTGAGGCACCTGAAGAGCAATCACAAAGCATATTTTTAACAGAAAAACGTCTTTTTGTGGCATCAGRTGCCATTTCTGTATATGATAATATTTTTTCTTTAGTTTTACTTTCATGGTACAATATACATTAGCTTTTTCCAGTGATGAGCCTAAGTAGGGATTATAAAAGCAATCMAAAACAGTATTCTGTAAATGCAAAAACTCAACCTTTGAATTTAACTGGAAATTTACTGTTTTGTTTCAGAAAAAAAAGAATTCTTTGTGATTTTGAACASTTCTTCTTTTGAAGAGAACATCTAAACAGAAACATTTCTTACAAGTAAATAAATCATGTTTAAAAGATAACATGGCTTTCTGTATTAGAAAAGGAATGTASTTGTTAATCACATAACTTTACTGTCTTTCATATTAAAATAATTGTTCCCTTCTGAACATTATGTGGCTTCTAGCTTCCTTCCACTAATTCTTAATTTGGCAAAGTTATAAGCTACTTGATGGGGAGGGGGGAAGGAACTCTCACTTGCATAACAGAACTTTAGTGCTGCAGCCGAATGCAGTCATAGCTTTAAGAGAGAAGACAGACCCCATCCAAGAGTTATACAGGTGACTGCCTGATCAAAGCATCAGGAAATAGCCAGAGTTTACACTTTTCCAGTTAATCTTATTGYAGTTGCCCATGGTAACTGCCTCTATGATGCTGCTAGGTCCCTAACCTTTTCTAGGATGCATCATACCTTTATTATACATCAGCAGTAAACAAAGTTGTTTTGTCTAGTACTTCTGCTTCAGTCGCTACTTATCCTATAAATGCTGCTTCCAATAAAAAAAAAAGATGACAGCAGGAATAGGCAGGAGAGTTTTCTGTTTACAAAGCTGTGTGCAAATTTTACAAAATGATACACTGAATGCCTCAGATGGCAGAGATGGCATTCAATGGGCAGGAAAGTGTATTTTAACAGCTTCATTCTCCGATTTAATGCTCTTGTTAATGGCCATCAGAGAAGGTAGAAAAGACACTCAAAGACTGCAACACAACATAATTCAGCTTCCTGGGTGAACCCTGAAGACCTTTCACAAAACGTAATTACCCCTCTAATGCAAAATAGCCTTAATTTTGTTTGGCTGAGAGCCTCTGAAGTATCAGGGGGAGGCAGATGCCTGAAAAGCAAGTCCAGAACACAGTGCACACACGGAGGAGAGTTTATGGCTGCAGAAAATCCAATTTTCTCAATTYGGGAGAAAGCAATCACTGTTCTTAAGTCCAAACTAGCAAACATCAGCAATGCAAAATGTTTTCCCACTATTTTACGTTATAACTTCCAAGCTTTGAAACTTTGAAGACTAGAAATTCGCCTAGCGCATGACACCAAACCCAATTCACACTATCCCTTCCACCCGGACTAACTGAGGGAAAACCACAGAACTGCAGGGAGGAGTTCTCCGGACCCACGAGACGACGATGGCGYACAGAGCCCCACGTTGTAGACACAGCCCCAACCGTCCCGCAGCCCGAAGGCTAACATTCGCCACGTCCCCTTTTCCCACACCCCTCGGGAATGAAGGCACCGAGGAAAAGGACGAGAAGGAGGACGGGGCTCCCGGGCCCCTCTCCCGCCACACACCGCACCTGACAGAGCCGCCGCCACAGCCACGCCGGCGCCATCTTGGCTCCGCCCGAGCCCGCCCTCCTGGCCCGGAATGAGAAGGGCGGCCGCTTCCCCCGCCTCCTGTCCCGCCGGGGAGGCTCAGGCGGCAGGCAGGGCAGCGCTCCGGGGTCTGGAGACGAGTTGGGCGCTAGTACGGCGCCGAACGAGGTTTACGAGCTCCCAGCTCGGCTCCCCGCCCCGGTTCCCGCGTCCCCCGAGTTCCCCCTCAGGGCAGCCCCGGCGGAGCAGCGGTTCCCCTCAGCCGCTCCCCGCCCACGGGCCCCTCACAGCCGCTCCCCGTCCGGTTCCCTTGGAATCCTTGGAAAAAAAAAAAAAAAGCCAAAACCGATTACATGAACCCTAGTTTAGAACCTTCTCTCCGCTCTTAAAAATACTGGAAAAGGCATACAAGCCCGTTAGAGCAAAACCCCTCTGCATTTTACAAAAATACAAAAATGGCCGGATATCACACATTACCACTTTTTTTTTTTACACGTACAAATCGTGGTTAATAATACAACACAGCTTCTGATCGGTATCAAATCTTTCAAGGGGAGGGGGTAATAAACAAGTACTAATTTATACCACTAAGCCATCCTTAAATACACAGAACTGGGTAGGCAGTAACCTGAAATTAAGCTATGCGCAAGTTGAATGCTAACGGGAACCTGAAACCAGCATAGATCACAAGTGCTATCAAATGTATATTTTTTTTTATTTTGTTACTTCCTCTGCCACCTAAAATTACAGTCCGCTTTTTACACTGAAATGCCTAAAATATTTACAGAACCATCTTCTAATAAAATAACAGTTAAATATTGAAAATAAGATTTTTCTCATAAAATATGTTTTCTGTATGTACAGGTTTTATCAAAGAGGACTAGATCCAATATTGAATAGTTTTCCATCATYAACCATCAGCAAGAAAAAAGCTTTCTGAAACAAAACTATGTTCAACTTGTACAAATAGGCAGAACAGCACATTCAACATCAGCCAATGTAACAATAATGATGAAGTCAATGTTTGAGGCCTAAATCATGTACTGCTTAGGAAATGYGCATTTCTTCTTTTTCCTTTATGAATAACTTCTTTGGTTATCATTGTTCTGTTATATTCTTGGCTGTACAATATAACAGCACCCGATTAATGTTACAGAACCAGGCATATATATGTGTGTATATATATATATATATTTATAGATAGTAAGTTTAGCACAGATCCTGTCCAATTGTTACTAAAAATGTTCCACTGTAGATTCCTCAGCACAGAGCTGCTCTTCAGTATCAAGCCCGTAAGTTTCTACTTTATTTCACCCAGTTCTTCAAGCAGAACTCTGATTTCAATCATCATTTTGCTTAAAYAGTTTTATTCCCACCATTAACAAAGAAACCTGAAAATGTGTCCGTTTCCCAGTGTAGAACCCTTCTAACAAAGATTCTTGTTAAGTTCAAAATTATACAAGTTTGGGAGGGGAAGAGTAGATTCTGCTGGGCTGTTTCTAACACAGGCTCCTAAAAGTCAGTGTTTTACCGCTCACAAAAGCCTCCACATCGCAAACCATGAAGACTTCCATTATCTATGAGATTTTTTGTCAGGGGGTCTTGCTGGCTGCACACAGCTGAGCACCCAGTCTGCTGACCCTGGATTGCATATGGCCCCTGTAAAAGTAAAATGTCACAGCATGGACAGGAACTGCTGGGGAATGTGCTGAGTGGCAGGTCGGGAAAGAAAACACTGTTGCTACCTGRTCTGAAACTCACGGGTGCAGTAAGTGAGAAAATCACCTCTTACGTGACAGGAGTGAAAATTCCACCCACTGGTCAAAACCAGCTGCAAAAACCKCTGGAAAACCCCCCAAAACACTAAAACAACCACGTACGCAGGAACTTCACTAACCGGAAACTGAGAAGTTATTTCCATTCTTCTGAAGAGTTGTTCTTTAGTATCAGAACATTCGACCTTAAGTAGAAACTTCAGGTCRTTTGGCTTCACATATTTGGCTTCGACAGAGAAGGCACCTCTCTCTGTCATTGGGTCCCACTGGTTTTAAACTTGTGTGGYCTAGTACTCCTACAAAAGTGCTGTRATTTGCCCTCATTTTGCATAGTTAAACAAGGAAGAAAGACAGTAGAAAATAAGACCCRCCATCCCTCAGATTCTGCTGAAGACATTAGGAATATGGCAAAAAGAACCCAAGAAAAGAAAACCCAACCCATTTAAAAAAAACCCAAACAAACCTGAAGCCTGGAAGATCTGAAGTAAGTCTTATAAAATACTTTATAAAGTTAACAATACTCCTCTACTGTGCAAAATTCACAAGAAAATCAGCACTGCTGCCTGAGAAAGCTCTGCAATCAGAATTTATATTCTGTAATTAAAGGTCCACTCAACCTAGCTCCATTTCTTCCTTAATTGTTTTATTCTGCAGGTACAATTCTTTCAACATCCTATTTAATCAGAGAACCAAATCAAAATGTATATAAACTGTGTCAGGTGTCCAGTAYGTAGATCTGAACCTAAGGGAAGAGAAACGGCAATTTAAACAGCCACATCAACTCACCTTTGYGGTATGTTTATAATAATTAAAGAATAGATGAATTTGATGTAATGCAAGAGGACTGAAAATGGCACAAGAATAACAAATCATCCCTAGAAGTAATAACTAACATGTGCATATCAGTCTCTTTTCCAGTGCCAAGAATGCTTCCCTGTGTTTGCCTGATGAGAGAGCAAGCATTGCTCAAGCATACACTCCCCTAAAACCACCAAAAAGGCTATTCCACAGTGTGATTTATTGTCACAGGACAATATTTCCAGTGCAATCTGATTACCAAGGCAGCATTCCTRATTCAGTGTTCCCATCAGATGATGTACTGAACCACAGTACAATAATTTTCCTTCTTCAATGCTTGAATTTAGGTCATTTTAAAATCAGCAGATCAAAACCTTGCTAAAATGGAAGGTTTAAAATGTCCTGTGTAACCAAGACAGAACTGCAAATGTACTGTAATATTACTTACTCTTTCACAGTTAAACCAGATTTTTTTCCCTTCATCTCCTTTAAAACGATAGCACAAAGACAAAGAATGTAATCATATCTTTAAGAGAGATGACATTTAGTCTYTAGAAGATGCTGGAAATGATCCAATATAGGAAAAAAAAAATGTTTCATCAGAAGTGTGTGAAGTTTATTCTTGTAATTGGGCTAAAATGAAACTTGGAAGAGTTAGATTCTACCAGGACCATCTGGAAGGAACTGATAGCAGAACCATGAACTTCTGTAATTAATGGCCTTGCAAGTTATCAGCAAGAAGAGCTCAGATAAAAACACCTTGTAAGAATATTTGTACCAATTATTTATTTTTTCCCCAAAACACAAATTAATAAAAAAAAAAGGGAAAAAAGCAGATTTTTTTTTTCTAGACCTGGATAAAAGAATTATAATTTTCAACAGGTAGTTTACAATCAGTGGGAATAAACAAGCAGTCCAGGTTTCCTGATTGATCCATTCAGGGTGTGCTCAGTAGCTGTCTATCAAACAACTTTTATTTACAACTCAGCATCATCCTGCAGTAGATCTGGATCTTCATCATCCAGTAAGAGGTCAGCATCCATGACTTCATTCTCCTCCATGACATCACCCAGATCCGGAACAACATCATCATCAATGTCACCAACATTTTCAACATGTTTAACCAGACTCATGTGATCCAGGGGGATCAAACTATGCCCAGCTGGCCCAGTAGTTCTTGCAATAGTGGCTGCCATTTCTGCTGCCACAGCAGCTTTCTGAGCTTTCTGCCTTTGCTGTTCTTCTTGTTGYCTGTGAGTCTTCATATGAGCATTGCGGCTTTTGATTTTGAAAAAGACCCTAAGTTTTAAAGAAAAAAAAAACCTCAGATAAAAATGCACTACTTTTGATGAAATGAGCCAAAAAAGACTCAGCAACCTATCAGTACATTTGCTTCCTTGTCCTGAAATAGAAGTCAGTGAAGTCTGCAATGCCATGGTGCGAATTTCAGGGACATATTACCAGATTTATATATCCTGATGGAMTCAAAATGGCTTATTCTGACTCTGCCAGTGGTAGTTTGTCGCTCCCACACCTTCTCCTATGCACATCCTAGTTCTCCCTGTATTAGTTTTACAACCATCTTGCAGAACAGGGAAAAAGTGAAGGAATACCACATTAGGATGGACAAACAAACCCATGCATAAGAAACACAGAAAAAGTTGCCCAGTGTCACATCCAAGTCTATGATGAAGTAGGAAGCTGGAATGTCAGGTGYAGAGATTCTAGCAGATAACTGGAAAATATGAGTAAATACTGCAGGGGCATCAAATCCAAAATGTCATAGATACCATGTCTAAAAGTTTTGGCAAGAGGACATATCAGTTAGGGGGAAAACTGCTTCTGATACYTTCAGAGCAAAATAAAAGGTTTGTTCACAATTCTACTGCTCTGGAATCCTAACATGCAAATTCAATGCAGTACACAGACAGTTACACTTACTTGCCACACTCCTTGCAAGGAAAAATTGTTGTTGGGTCAGTCTCGCCGCTTGTTGTGCTGTGGGCAGGTGAGCTCTTGATGGAGCAGTATCCGCTCTGCGTACCAGATTTCTGCTTGGTGCCAGGAATGGTGCAGCGTGTTTTTGTCACCTGGTTCGTACCTCCATGAATGCGAGCATGGCCATTCAGTGCTTGTCGGGAACTGAACACCTGGCAAGGGAGCAGGGTGGAGGGGAGGGGAAATCACACACACAAAAAAATAAACCTCAAGAAATCACAAGAAAACCCTGGAACAAGAACTGCAGAGAGTAGGATGCTGAATGCATATCCCAACAGAACAAGTGTGCATGTCTAATATGCACCATCTACTCAGCCAAATGGTGCTTGCTTTCAGCAATATCCCACTRCAGTTAAAGATAATCATAATAATACAAAGCAGTGAGCTATCCAATTATTAAAGTTGTGTAACCTAATTGAAGTTGTTGCCATATAGTATTTCTAACGGATACATCATCTCAGAAYTCAGTTTTCTTTACAGATCAAACTGCTTA